TTGGATGCATCTCATTCTTCCTCTGCCTTTCCTGTGTGGCCTGTATGATAGCAGAAAATACTACCAAGATTGCTCTGGTGTACACATCTCTTGACCCTGGGGTAGAGACTTTTTAGAGACCACCTGGAATACCCAGAGATGACAGAATATTGATTCAGAAACCCTCAGTGGAAGAAATGTACCACATTTATTTGTTGCATTCTACTGAATTTGTAAAATTTTCATCTTTTTCAAAATGGCTTTAAAATGTTCAATAGAGACTTCTTGGCAAAGAGCAGAAGTCTTGAGAATGCATTTAAAGCAGGCCAATTGTTGCTGTACTAGCGAAGATAAGCTTTCCTCTTCTATAACTGTATAATAATTGTCTGCCTTTGCTTCAGTCTATCAGAATAACAGTCTATAAACTATGCATCTTGATATCTTTTCTCCATTAAGTTTTCACACTTAAAATTTTATAAACTACCCACAGGGAAATTGATTTCCTGAAGCACTTAGTAGCCTGCTTATGCCTCAGCTATCATGTAGTCCTTACTACTTGCAAATGACGATTGTGGAAAGGACACCTCAGTACTATCTTAACTTTGCCGTGAAAATATTCTTGTTTATTATGTTAAGAGACAATAATCTCCAGTCTTGGCTTTTAAAAATGAGAATGCTTTTTAGCTTTCTCTTTCATGATTATTAACTATGCCCAGAGTTTTCATTTTAATTACCATTATACAGTATTTCAGTTCTCTTATTTGCTTTATTACCTTTTTGCTTTGGTTTTGAAAATAATTTTAGAGAAATAAAATCATATTGTTTCCAATATGATGAAATTCTTTCACCGTATTGTTAGTGAATCTTTTCTTCATTACCAACACAAAGCTATATATTGCAACTTTTTTTAAACAAACAAATTAAAAATTGTTTAGTATTATGATTAGAACATATAAAGAGCACAATAAAATTTAACTTAACCTAGCTGGCTCATTCCTTTGGTTTTTACTGACTTCTCTTTATTGGAAATAGGAACTATCTGTGGCTTAACTCTTCCCTAGAGGAGGAATGTTGTCAGAGAGGAGCTGGAAAAATCCTCAGGATTTGGATTTTTAGTCCTTAAGTGTAAGTTCTTCAACCACAGAAAGACTAGAACACAGAGGGAAAAAGCTCCTTGACCTTGGTCTTGGCAGTGATTTCTTTTAGATATGACAGCAAAAGCACAAGCAACCAAAATAAAACTCAACAAATGGGACTGTATCAAACTGAAGAGCTTCTGCACAGCAGATGAAACAATGAACAAAATGAGAAGGCAACCTATGGAATCTGAAAGATGTTTGCAAACCATATATCTGATAAGGTTAACGTCCAGAATGTATAAGGAACTTAATAACAGAAAACAAACAAACAAAAAACACAACAATACCCACTATGGACTTCGGACCTTAATTGGTATATCTCTTAAAAGAAGACATATGAATGGTCAACAGATCATTAAGCATCAGTGAAATGCAAATCAAAACCACAATGAGATATCACCTGTTTAGAATGGCCATTATCAAAAAGACAAACAAAAAAGTGTTGAGGATGTGGGGAAAAGGGAACTCTCAGGCACTGTTGGTAGGATTTAAGTTGGAACAGTTGTTATGGAAAACAGTTGTTATGGAAAACAGTATAGAAGTTCCTTTAAAAAAATAGCACTACCATATTATACAGCAGTCCCACTACTGAGTATATATATCCAAATGGAATGAAATCACTGTCTTGAAAAGATATCTCCATCTCCTTGTTCATTGCCACGTTATTCACAATTGCCAAGATAATGGAAACAACCTATGTGACACACTATCAAAGGACGAATGGATAAAGAAAATGTGTGTGTGTAATGGGATGTTATTCAGCCATAAAATTGAAGAAAATCTTGCTATTTGTGACCACACAAATGAACCTGGAAGACATTATGCTAAATGAAATAAGACAAAAGACAAATACTGCATGATCTCACTTACATGTGCCATCTAGATGAGTCAAATTCATAAAAACAGAGTCAAACAGAAGTTACCAGGGAAAGAGAAGTGGAGGAAATGGAAGATGTTGGTCAAAGGGAGCAAAGGTTCAGTTATATAGGGTAAGCTCTAGAGGTTTAATGTACGGCATAGTAGCAGTAGTTAATAATACTGTATGGTGTGCTTGAAATTGGCCAAGAGTTGATTTTAAGTGTTCTCCCCACCAAAAAATGGCATCGCTTTTGTCTCTGTACATGAAATTCAGTTGAACTGAACTAATGATGGTTTACTAAACATTTATTCTGTGCAAGAGATGCCTGGAGATACTATGTTTGGCATATTTCACTGCATGGGGTTTTTTGTTTGTTTATTTTTGTTTAGCCTTTTTGTGCAATGTTTTGGTCTATAGTTACTGGGCAAAGAAGTGAGGGAAATTACATTGTGGCTGGAAAATTTTCCTTTGAAGAGGCTTTTATTTGTGTGTATAGAAAATATAATTAGTCATGGCAAAAGGCTTTATCTATGATTTAATATAAAACCTATGGAGTCAGTACTCTTTTGTAATATTACATCATTAACTCACAATTACTATTAATTTATTAAGTGAAGGCAGTGGAAACCTCTAAATCCTAGCAGTGCCAAAGTAACAAAGAATGGCTGTGGTTTAACCCTTCTCTTAAGAAACACAGTACATAGGCTTTTCTTAAATGCAAAAGTGAATCTTCTTTTAAATAAATCTATAGTTTTAAAACTTAAGGTCAGATGTTTTTATTATTATATTCCCTCTTTTTTTTTCTTAAAAAACAAGACTAATGCGAGATATAATAATAGGGGAAACTCGGTGTGAGGTATATGGGATCTCTGTACTATCTTTGCAATAATTTTGTACATCTATGAACTGTTCTAAAAGAAAAAAGTTTATTGAGAACTATATGAGGGACATTTTCTTTTTCATTTATATGAGTTTTAGAGATATTCAGGTGTTGTATATCAGGTTCTTACACAAAACATGAAAAATTTGACAAATGACAGTGTTCTTTATTAGCTTTTTTTTTAATTGAATTTATTGGGTTGACATTGGTTAATAAAATCATATAGGTTTCAGGTGTACCATTCATTCCATAATATCTATTTGCTTTCTTTTTGAGTTATTATTAACTTGAGCTAAAAATAAAGCATTGGATCAGTTTCAGAAGGATGTTTATTCCCAGGGTGCTTGTATAATGTTGTACAGAAAGCAAATGATACTGGTCTCCTTGTGAACATAATATCACACCCCCCTGTCCCTCTCAAATATTTTGTGGCTATAACAACTGGAATGGGAATTCTTACTGCTGTAGGAGTCGGCTGTGAGTCAGAGTCTTAAGAGAAAAGAATCAGCAAATCTGCCACTTGACTGTAGAAGTAATATTGACCAATTCTTGCTGAATTTTATCTGGGCTCTCTTGGAGTCATAGAACTTGAACTCTTCAGAAGGCTCTTGATGGTATAGGTCAACAATATTCAATGGGTTTGCTGCAAGAATTTTTAAAACATGCACTACCTGACTATTTAGTTAGGGGAACTGGCCTCTTTTCCCTTAGATTGTCAAAAAAAAAAAAAAAAAGACAACAGCTAACACAACAATAGCTGTCTGGTGTGAATGAATCAAAATTATATATATTTTTTGTCAGATCGGCCAAAAAATACATTTTTTGGTGTGCCACAAAATTTTAGTAATTTGTTTATATATGCCATGAGATGAAAAAGGTTGAAAATCACTGGCATAGGTTCTGCTTTGATATAAAAAGGCCAGCCTGCAGTGTTGGAGTGTGAAAGATAACCTCTTCTGAAAGAAACTGTTGCATTTTCCCTTCTTAGCTTCTCCTTCAGAGACATTTTACAGCCTCACTGTCCTAGCTTTCTTTCCTAGGGATCTCTGCTTGACAGAACAGGTAATATCCTTAGAAAATAGTGGGAGATTTGTGATTTGGCAACTGCTTTATTCAAGGCTCATATAAATTGAGAACTAGTTACTTGGCTTCTTGCTTTCTGGGAGAGAAGATTCTATTCCTTAAGGCACCCATTCTTTCTCTTCTCTTTCAGACAAAACAGCTTGAAAAACCTCTCAGGCTAAGGAGTCCTTGTCAAAACAATTTTTATTTGAAGAACTAAGATGCCTGGGGATATTTACCAACAGCTCATATGAATTATAGCAAAATTGATATTAGAATGGACAAAAGAGAAATTCTCACATTAGCTAAGCCCATTGCACCCACTATTAGATAGTATTAAGTGTTTTAATCACTTTCTATTCACATAAGCTGATGAATAGATCTATACAAATAACAAATATACATATAGAAAAATGAACCTTCTGACTCAAAAGTGGCATATCACATTCTTAAGACAGTTAATATAGAATGTGTTCTACATTTTATTGTGAAAATTACTAGTAGCTATCAAAATTGGTTTTTATTAAGTCCCCTGACTGACATTTTGTAATTGTTGAATTCAGATATCTTTTTATTCAGTGGCTTTACTTCCATAATGATTTTGTTTGTGACATCTAGAACTCTGGAGATAGGTGGAGTTAATAGGTATATTATAATTTTTCCTTTAAGATGATTTGAGTTTCATCAGGGAAGGTACACTTAGAATGCTGAATTGAAGCTGAAATAAATGAATTTTTTTACCTCCTTCCTAAAAATCTCAATGAATGCAGCTTTGAGTTTAGAGATGATCACACTTGCATGTTCTGCATGATAGAGAAGTGAAAAGAGTATTCTTTTCAATGTAACTGCTTAATTTCACATTTGTTCAGTGATGTTTCCAAAGTAACTGTTCTTTTTTACTGCTGTTTCCCTAAATATGCACATAAAATTTCTTTGAAATTCTATTTTTAAAGCTGGGTTCTTTGTCTTATAAAATATACTGGGTCCGTCCTGTCTTACATGATTTATGCACTTATCACCTGTGAAGAGAAGTTGCTCTGTGCAGCTTATCTTCACCTTTGTTTATCTTCCTCCCTGACAGAATCCCAAGGACTGCAGCAAAGCCAAGAAGCTGGTGTGTAATATCAACAAAGGCTGTGGCTATGGCTGTCAACTCCATCATGTGGTCTACTGCTTCATGATTGCGTATGGCACCCAGCGAACACTGATCTTGGAATCTCAGAACTGGCGCTATGCTACTGGTGGATGGGAGACTGTGTTCAGACCTGTAAGTGAGACCTGCACAGACAGATCTGGCATCTCTGCTGGACACTGGTCAGGTAAGAAGTCTGTGCAACTTATCAGGTTCTCTGGGTTGAACTGCCACATAACCAGATTATCAGATTTCTTTGTACAACTTTATGGCTCATAATCACCTTTTTCTTTGGATCTATGAATGCCATACATCATCCAGATAATCTAGAATAATATATTATTTAAAAAGTATCTCATGATTTATTTCATTTCTGATGTTTATTTTCATCTGGATTTAGAAAATCACAAGCTTTTTCAAAGGAGTGAAATTTACTGTTTTAATGGTGATGGTGATATACCTTTCACTTTTTAGAGTGCTTCCATGTTATTTTTTTAATGATTTTTATATTGTATTTCCATTACATGTAGTCTCCTTATGTCCTCTTCACCACTGCAGTCACCACATTGCTGTACATGTCCATGGGTCATTATTCCTTTCTGCACAATCCCTCCACTCCCTATGCCCCTCCCTTAGCTGTCATCCTCTGTCTTTTGAGTCTGTCTCTATTTTGCCTGTGTTCGTTCATTAGATTCCCCTATGAGTGAAATCATATGGTATTTGTTTTTCTTTGACTGGCTTATTTCACTTAGCATAACTCCATCCATACTGTCACAAAGGGTAAAACTTTCTTCTTTTTTATGCTGAGTAGTATTCTATTATGTAAATGTCCCATAGTTGTTTTATCCACTCATCTCCTGATGGACACTTGAGCTGCTTCCATATCTTGGTGATTGTAAATATGATGCAGTGACCATAGGGGTGCTTCTGTTCTTTCGAGTTATTGTTTTGGTTTCCTTCAGATATATTCCCAGAATTGGGGACCTTGAGTCAAAAGAAGGATCCATCTTTAATTTTTTCAGTTATCTCCATTTGGCTTTCCACAGTGGCTGCATCAGTCTGCATTCCCACCAACAATGCAAAAGGATTCCTCTTTCTCTACATCCTTGCTAGCACTTGTTGTTTATTGATTTATTAGTGATAGGCATTCTTACAGGTTGAAAGAGTTTCTCATTGTGGTTTTAATTTACATTTCTCTGGTGATTAGTGATGTTGAACATCTTTTCTTATGTCTATTAGTCATCTTTATGTCCTCTTTGGAGAAGTATCTGTGCAGGTCCTTTGCCCATTTTTTAATTGGGTTGCTTGTTATTTTGGTGTTGAGTTTTGTAAGTACTTTATAAATTTTGGATATTAACCCCTTATCAGATATGTGAACAAATAATGTTCTCCCATTCTGTGGGTACCTTTTTATTTTGTTGATGTTTTCCTTTGCTGTGCAAAAACTTTTTAGTTTGATGTAGTTCCATTTATTTATTTTTTTTTCCTTTTGTTTCCCTTGCCTGGGGAGATCTGTCTGATAAACTATTGCTATGAGCTGTGTCTGAGATTTTGCTGCCTATGTTTCTTCTAGGATTTTCATTGTTTCCACTCTAACATTTAAGTCTTTAATCCATTTTGAAATTATTCTTATGTGTGGTATGAGAAGGTGGTCTAGTTTCATTTTTCTGCACACATCTGTCCAATTTTCCCAACACCATTTATTGAATAAACTATCTTTAGTCCACTGTATGTGCTTGTTTCCTGTGTTAACTATTGACTGTAAGGGTGTGGGTTTATTCCTGGGCTCTCTATTCTCTTTCATTTCTTTTTTTATGTGAGTGCCATGCTATTTTGATTACTATGGTTTTATAATATAGTTTGATATTAGGTAGTATGATTCCTCCAACTTTGTTCTTCTTTTTCAGGATCGCTGTTGCTATGTGGAGCCTTTTGTAGTTTCAGATAAATTTTTGAAATATTTGTTCTAGTTCTGTGAAATATGTCATTGAAATCTTGATAGGAATTACATCAAATCTATAGATTGCTTTGTGTCATATGGGCATTTTAATGATGTTAATTCTTCCTGTTCATGAACACAGAATATGCTTCCACTTATTTGCATCTTCTTCAATGTCTTGTAATTTTCAGAGTATACATCTTTTACACCTTTGTTTAAATTTATTCCTAGGTGAAAAGCATATAGCACCCAGTAATCCCAGGTGGTCTCCTATCCAAGTACTAACCAGGCCTGACCCTGCTTCACATTGTTGACCTCAAGTAATTCTTGTAATTATCATATAAGTAACGTAGATCTGGGTGTTTTGTTTTGTTTTGTTTTTTAACTTAAGTGTGCATGAGAATCACCTGGAGGACTTGTTAAAACACTAGTTTTTGATTCAGTAGGTCTGGGTGAGGCCTAAGAATTTGAATTTCTGACAAAGCTGCCAGACCCACAGACCAAACTTTTGAACCACTGAGGTACTTTTATCTCTATTTTACTTTTGAGGACAATAAAGCCTAATTTGTTCATGCAATTTTACATTCTACTCAGGAAATATTTGTTGACCAATAATGTGGTTAAGGTTATACTATAGGAAATGTAAGAGTTATAAATATCAGGAAGTAATTTCCATTGTCTCTTAACATCTGGTGGTAGAGAGAATAGAATATATATAGAGTTTCTTATTGCAAGTCTGCTGTTTTTTTTCTAATCAATGATCTTTAAACAAGGCCTAAAATTGGGCTACCTTTGTAATCTTGGGCAAGGTACTTAACCTAGACTTTAGTTTCCTCAGCAGTAAAATACCTCTTTGAGTTGTTGGTAGGATTAAATGAAATGGTATGTGTAATGCACTTAGCACAGCACCTGATATATGAGCTCTAGTAATTGTTAGTTACCATTAATAGCTTTTATTCATTGAGCAAATACACATTGAGTACCTGAAGTATGGAAAATACTGAACTAAGTATCACATAAAATTCTAAGCAAGACTGTCTCTGCATTCACATCTTGTGGGAAGTCAAACTTTTCACAAAAGGCTGAGGCATTTCAGTTAATGTAATTTCTCATGGGGTTGACCATCTTTTTTTCACAAGTTAAAACATTAGATGTGGCCCTGATCAGTGTGGCTCAGTTGGTTGAGTGTCCTCCCACAAGGCAAAAGGTCATAGGTTTGATTCCCAGTCAGGTCACATGCATGGGCTCCGTCCTCTGTTGGGGCACTTACAAGAGGCAACCCATCGATGTTTTCCTCTCACATTGATGTATCTCTCCCTCTGTTTCTCCCTTCCTTCCCTTCTCTCTAGAAATAAATAAATAAAATCTTAAAAAAAAAAACTAGTGGTGGAATAGGAAGCTATGTCATTGGCAAAGTGAGTAACTTTAGTTCCTTTGTTTCTTTTTGTCCTTTGGGAAATATCAGATAATATCTGACCCTTCATAGAAATGGTCAGGAAATCTCATTGGATAATTTCTATGAAGTGCTTTGAAAGGTTCTATATGGATTTAAAGTATTCTTATGATGTAAGTCTTGTCTTCATTAGGATATTTAGGAGCCTTATTCTATATATCAACACATGTTTTCCTTTGTACTTTCTAATTTTAAAGTGATCCTCTTAGTCTATAATCTAACTGAGCTTTAGTTTTGAGGTCACATCTCCCATTGGTCTACTCTGTCATGTACGTATCAAGGTCAGGAAGATACAAGGAAAGCAACTCTGGCAGGCTTACTGAGGCAAACTTTTTCATTTTGTGGGCTTAGTTCAGTCTCAAGCTTCTTTGATTGTAGAAGTGCATAGCTAGAGTAGGGCAAGGTTCTTAGTTTTTACTGTTGTAGGGAGAGGAAACTTCTTGGGTAGTAGCCAGTTAGCAGAAAAGTGAAAAGTTGACCTCACTATACTTACCAAATTTAGTGTATATTTTGGCCCTGCCTATAGGCTACAACTAGTTACTTGGTTTGTTTGATTTTTAATCCTTATACATTTTGTATGTATAGGACGTGAAGATTAAAATGGCTTGAATTCAAAACATTCAGAATTCCTTAATGTTATAATTAAACAGGAATCATTCTTTCTTTGTGTTAATATATATGGAATCTAAGATCTAATAGATAGTCATACAGCGTATAAATAACAACTTGGGTTAGTACATTTACTTCTTCCTACCTCCAGTCTAAGTTCTTCCCAGTAAACACATGCCAAGCACCTTACCCAGGAGAAAAATGATTAGAGGCATAGAAATTTCTAAGTCTAGGAACTAAAAAATGACTAATCATAATATTTCTATCCTCTTCACCTCCCCCTATCTTATGACTTTTTCCAAGCCTTCCATATAACTTTCAGTGCTGAAAAGTTGTCAATGATATTTTCTACTTAGTCATTTGCAGTCCCTGGTTAAAGAAGTTATTGCAATATTTTATCATGGTAACAGAATTATAATTTTAATTAAATAGATTTTTCCTTTATCACTACAGGTATATAAAATCATATTTTTTCTTCATGCTAATCAATTAAACTGTGCCTTTTGGACACATTTAATTAACTAAACTAGTGATTATTTTATGCTTGCGTAACTAAAATAATTTAGATACTAACATTGTGTCCAAAAGAAGGAAGAGAATTATGTTTGAGCATAGCAAAGTATGGTTGGCATCTACTTCTCTTTCTGTTTATATATAGTACATTATCTACATGTATACCTTTTGGAGAAACTAACTTATTTGTAGGTTTAGAAGAAGCAGAATAAAATTAAAAATAAAACTTAATAAACTCTTTGACATTAATCCTTTAGTTAGCCATAAGTCAATTATATCTGTTCTTGTTCTGACTCGTACAAAGAATCTTGGGATATTTCCCTTGGCACAACTGTCATGAAATTATTGTTGTTCACACATACTTGACATGATGTGCCTGCAGGTGGAATTTAGTGATTCCTTTTCAAATCTGTCACTACCACAGTAATTAGTGTGCACATCTGATCATTTCAATAGCTAAGTCATTCCTGTTGTAGGATGAGTTCTATTTTTCTTCTTCATTATTTTATATTTATGTATGAAACCATATCCTATGTGGTAATTTGCTTAAGTGAGCAAAAATATTAAAAATTGTGCTTCCAGTTAAAAACTATAATCATAATCTTTTCCATCATCTGTCAATGTCTGTTCTAAAGTTGCTGATAAAATTGTCGATTTAATTTTCTACATCACA